TTAGCAGACGCTTTTATCCAAAGCGACGTCATCAGAGAGTAAGAACAACACAAGCAAGGATCTAGAAAAAAGGGAACAATGTGAGTAAGAGCATATGATCAGCTTTGAGTCTGATTGGACACACAGGTGCTGACAGGAAGTGACCAGAGGCAAAGCACAACATTGAGGGCAGTTCTTGAGAGCTCTAATCAGTATAGAAACCATCTTATAAGTCATCGTTATCAAACAAAAACCATCGTCATTACCATCATCATCATCAATAATATGGAGACCATCATCATTAAGTTAGTAGGTATTCATGAAAGAGCTGGGTCTTTAGCTTTTTCTTAAAGGTGCAGAGGGACTCTGCAGATCAAATGGAGTTTGAGAGTTCATTCCACCACCGGGGGGCGACAGAGGAGAAGAGTCTTGTCAGCGTCTTAGGACCCTGTTGTGAAGGTTGGATCAGATGCCTTTCATTGGCATTATATATGACAAGTGAGAAAATGAGAGCCAAAACCGTGATTCATAACGGATTGTATTGTAATCAGTGTCATCGTTGTGTCTTGTTTAGCAGCTTCACCGGTTGCAGAAGGTCATCTAACCCAGGTTATGTCTCAGGCTTCATACAACAACAACAAAAAAATCCATCTTACACCAAAAGTTCTCTCTACAACGGGCTGAAGACGCTTGCAGTCATGTTGTAATATCACTGTACCCTGTCAATCGACACAGGGTCTTCTTTGCCTTCTATCAACACCCCCCCCCCCTCACTCAGCTTTACCAGCTGTGTGTGTTTACAGAACAGTTGCACTCAAAGACCTTTGGTGGGCGCCAAAAATCACCAAACTGATCTCCTACATAATGTAGCTTTAAAGACACTTCCTCTCCTTTGTGCGTACAGACTAGATGTCTCCAGTGTTAATCTTCACACCATTTTCTAATTTAGTCATAGTCACAGTCTCCTGACGAAAATGTCCTTTATATTTAGTCAGATATTAGTCATTTGTTATTGATTTAATTTAGTCAATTAGTCACCGACTAAAATGATTTTAGAGCAGCTGAGTGGGTTTAACACTTCTTTATCAAGTGATAATCCTCACTTGTAATGTAGTTTCCGTTTCGTCACATTTTCGTCAATTAGATGATGAATTAATATTATTCATCAAATCATCAAATAGCGGAGTTTCGTCTCGTCATCTTCATAGTTGACTAATTTAAAAAGATTTTCGTCAACGAATATTTTCGTCATTTATTTAGTTGACAAGATTAACTCTGGGTGTCTCATCAAACTTCCAGTCCTACACAGAGTATCTCGTTTTTCTTGCACTCGTCTTCCACAAAACAATCAATCTCGTCTCGTTTCTGTCAAAGCCTCTCACCTCTTCATCTGCTTTTTTCTGCAAACACCTTGGAGAAGCGTCCCTCGGAGGAACGACACAGACGCGGGCTAATTAGCAGATAATTAGTCCAAAAACTACTGGACTGAAGATGTTAACAGCGTGTTTAACCACCATGCTGTGTCCCCCAAAAAATAAACACCAAGATAAAAAGTAGGAGCACCTGAACTCAACACAAAGCCTCACATGAAGGCTTTTTTGTGTCTGCACACATTTCTGTCTCACTTTTCACACCTCAGCCTGAACTTATCCTCCCTCCCTCCCTCCCTCCCTCCCTCCCCTCTCGACCTGCGTGGACACCGGCAGAATTAATGACCAGCTAAAATTTATGAGAGGAAAGTTATGAATAATGTTTACGTATTAATCATTCATGGTGGCCGGCCAAGCACCAGAGGCTCCGGCTCCCCTGGAAATTACAGGCTCACCTCCACAACATAAATTATCCATCAGATTTCAATCAGGTCTCTCTCTGAGCGGTAAGCCGACGGCAAACTATCTCTGTTCAAATACAGACGCTGCAAAAGTCCAGCGTCAGTGAGCAGCAGGGAGGATGCAGCATTAATGGATCAATCAATCATCGATGTTTTTGTTTCTAAGTGAACGTGCACAATGCATCACCGTCACGTCCGATGTGATCTTCTGCTGCAGTTAATCTGCTGTTAATGGTGTTATTATTAGGGATAATATGTCCCTGAATAAACACAGCATTTCCCATAAATCCCCTCCCTGGCAGTCCTGGATGAAGAGATAAATACGATGGAAGAGTTTTATCTGATTCATGTCTAACTCGTTCTGTTATTTCCAGAGACGCTGTGTGCCGCCCTGTTCTGATCCTCTATACTGCACAATGTTTCCCCGAGGTAAAAACGAGGCAAAGAAAAACTTTTTGACCTTCAGTTTTACACAAGAGATTTCACAGACTCCCTCATATCAAGAGTAGAATTTGTCTGTGATGTTTTACAAGAATCATACTGGAGGTATGTAGATGAATCAGAGACAGTTTATTTTCTTTTTGTTAACTTTCACTCAAAAGATCCAGTTTCAATAGTTTCAGCTGCTCCCTTAAGGCCCTGACACACCAAGCAGACGGCAAAGAACTGGGTGGCGATGAAGGCCGACTGAGGCGTCACCTCACGTCCCCTCTTGTCTCGGCCAAAAAAGTTGCACTTGAACACACCTTTAAACATTTCCCTTCATAAAACAGCCGATTACTTGAACATATAATCCTTCATTATTTATTCATCATTATGTATATTTTGTGTTTGTCAATGAGGTAGAAAAGAAAATGTTTATCTGAAAAGCTAAATCTTTGTAAAGATTGGTGTTTAAGTAAATTATAATAATATTTAATATTAATAATTCAATTTAAAAAACTTTGAGATTAATATCCTCTCGTCCTTTTTTCACAACACACGAGAGATGCGTTTTTAAAAAAGTAACTAAGTAACTTTTACTTAAAGTGCATGTTAAACAAGTTACTTTTTACTTTTACTTTGAGTACATTTTTAAACTGGTACTTTTACTTGTACTTAAGTAAAATTTGATCAAAGTAACAGTACTTTTACTTGAGTAGAATATATTAGTACTCTTTACACCTCTGGTGGTCACACCTTTTTCTCCATTTTATAGATCAAACTGCTAAACTGCGTAGCGCTATCGGATGCCCTTCTTCCACTGTGCTGTTGTTTACTTTCAGGTCATAGCGCAGCATTAGGCCAGATTGCAGTATAGCCACTGACTCAGGCAAGACTGATTCAATAAAGAATCAGTCTTTTTTCTTTGGTGTCAAGGTTTGGTCGACACATCTTTAAAAGACAGAAACTCCTTAAACCAAAGTGTTAAATGGTAAGGTTGGCTGATTGGTGACTCACAGCTCTACCCAGCATCCCTGTTTACTGGACAGTCAGTTTCTCTCTCTCTCTCTCTCTCTCTCTCTCTCTCTCTCTCTCTCTCTCTCTCTCTCTCTCTCTTTCTCTCTCTCTCTCTGTCTCTCTCTCTCTCTCTCTCTCTCTCTCTGTCTCTTTCTGTCTCTCTCGCTCTCTCTCTTTCTGTCTCTTTACAAATCGATCTTTGTTTGTTGCCGCTTCAAAGTGGTTGATGAGAAAGAAGGGTGATACTTGTCTTAAAGACACAGAGGTGTACCGCCTCAGAAAACTGGTGCAGAAGGTAAAGACACTAATTACTAATGAAGCAAAAAAGTAAAGGGCAGGAAACAGTATGTTCTGTATATTTTTCCATTCTGTTCAGTGTGTGTTTAATTATGAGTAGTTTCAACATTTCATCTTTAAATCTTAACGGAGCAAGAGATGTTAAAAAGAGAACTATGTATTCTGAACTTTTAAAAACTAAGTGCATTGATATTGCTTTTGCTCAAGAAACTCACAGTAATAATGATAATGAAGTTGAGTGGAAGAGAGAATGGGATGGTCCTGTGATCACCTCTTCTGCTTCTGTGATCATTTCTGAGGGATGGAACTAGATCAGTTCATCGTGTGATGTGCTCTGTGTTGTGAATCACTTAGCTTTACAAAGATACTGACAAAAGAATTATCAAACATGTATATAAGGCAAGTTTGACTTTTTGTTTAACATTTGCTGTTCTCCACTCCAGCGGAAACACTTCTAAATACAATCTGCAGTCCATCCTTAAAAAGGGCCATTCCAACAGCTTGAAGCACAGTTAACAAATGCAGTGAGTAAAACACTCCCTTTTCTTGGGCTGACACGAGGACACCAAAAATACAAAAGGACAGACCTTGGAGTGCATCTTCAAACACAATCAGTTGAAATGTAGAACACTTCATTTTCTGCAGCATGAGAAGTTCACAGCAGGATGAAGGTGATTACAAGGACGGGGAAAGATAAAACAGTACTGTAAAAAAACCCAACTAGTTATGACTTTAAAAAGTTGGTGTCTGGGTTGCCTTAAAATGTTAAGTTACCTGAACTTAAAAAAGATAAGTTGAGATAAATGTCTGATTATTCCAAAGAAATAATATTTTCTACAGTCAAATAAACTTGACATCAAGTCAGTTGTATTTAAATCTTTAAATTCACAAAACCTTTGAGCACAACTCAGTTCCTGTGAGATTATCTCATTATCTAGTTGAGGCAAAATGCTCTTTCAGTTTCTTTTGACTTGAAATCCAAAGTTAAAATACTTTATCAAAAGTTGAATCCATCTAAAATATTGAGTTAAATGAATTAATCAATTTAAATTGAATAAATATATTTATATTTTAGTCAACTTAAATCAGTTCAGCGTATACATTTTTTAGTGAGTCGCTTTTGTGGAAACTTTCAACTTCCTTTCAAATACAAATTTAAAAAAAGGTATAATCTCTCCAGGTTATTCGTTTTATCATAGAAACCAACCAACTTTAGTTCTTCAACCTCAGCAGATCAGATCAAATAGCACATCTAAACATTTACAAATGTTTTTACCGCTTGTTAGTAAAAACATTTCCACCCAAGAATGTGCAAAAAATCAGTTGTTTTCTTTTGCTGCATTTATCATTTATCGGTCACTTTCCGCAGTATTTTCAGATGCAATAAACGTATAAAATCAGGTAATTTACACATTTAATGAGTGATCTTACTGTGGTAACACAAACATTTCAGAAAAGATCTGTGAGACAATGTCCAAATATTTCTTGGAGTTGGAGACCACACCTGGGAAGTCTCGGAAAACCCGCAGACAGAGAAGGCACAAGAAATTCCAAAAGACAGTGATGACACCACCAACCAGCACTGAGCCAGAGTTACCGCTAGGTTTCAAGTCCCAGGTAATATAAGTGATACACAGAAAACTGATCCGTCTTTGGTCTCTCTTTTCCAGAAAGCAAAGGAGAAGGAGCCGGAAGCTGAGTTGGACATCATAAGTGATGAGAATATCCTGCAAAATGGCATCCTCCAAGAGTCAGCGTTGCAGCTCGTGGTTCCCCAAGCAGCTAGAAACGCCATACTTGCCTTGGGGGCACTCAGTTCCCTCGGCTGGCCACCTGGGCCCACAAAACCACAGCTCGCATTAAAAACCATTTCCACTGGCCTGGCCTGCGCAGACATGTTGCTCATGTTTGTGAAAGTTGCCCTCAGTGCCAAATAACATCTGCTAAAACACCCCCCAGAGCTCCACATCAAACACTACCCATTATTGGCACCCCATTTAAGCGCCTTGGGATGGACGTCCTGTAGAGAGAAGCAAAGCAGGGAACCGTTATATGCTGGTTATAACAGACTTTGCTACCAAGTATCCAGAAGTCTTTCCACTAAAATCCATCCATGCTTTCTGTTTGGTACAGTTCTTTTCAAGGGTGGGCTTCCCTTGTGAAATATTAACTGATCAGGGAACTAACTTTGTCTACTCTGCTGAAACAGGTGTACCAGTTACTGGGTATCAGAAGCCTCAGGACTACACCATATGTTCCTCAAACGGATGAGCTAACAGAGCGCTTTAACCAGACCCTGAAACAGATGCTCCGGAAGTTGGTAAACAACACTAGTACAGACTGGGATCAATGGCTGCCATACCTCCTTTTTTGGATACAGGGAAGTACCCCAATCCTCCACTGGTTTCTCTCCTTTTGAACTTTTGTATAGACATGAAGTTTGGGGGTCGTTGGCACTGTTGAGAGAGATCTTGGAGGGGGCAAGGGGAGGGTGGGATCTGTTAATGTTGTACCTATGTCATCCAGATGAGAGAGCGACTGGAGAAAATGGGTGAGCTGGCCCAATCGCACGTGGCGGACGCCCAGCAGCAACAGAAGTCCTGGTTCGACAAGCCAGCCAGGCAGAGATTCTTCAACCCTGGACAGAAAGTGCTGGTGCTAACAAACTGTTGGCTAAATGGCAAGGAGCGTTCAAAATCCTAAAGAAACTTGGGCCAACCAGTTACCAGGTATCAACACCAAGGCACTCACGCTCCAGGCTTCTATCACCGCTTCATCCCGGAGTCCCAATCAGATCCAGTGGATAGAGACGGCAGTGGCAGCTTTCAGTGATATCCAGCAATCACTAAGTAAGCAACCTCTTCTGTACAGTCCAAACTTTGACGAACATTTTCTTCTGCAAACGGATGCTTCTGACAGGGCTTTGGGAGCTGTGTTACTCCAGGGACTTCAGGATGATCGGCATCCAGTCGCCTACATCAGCCGGAAACTGTTCCCCAGAGAGGTTCAATATTTGACGGTGGAGAAGGAGGCACTCGCTATCAAGTGGGCCCTTGATTCCTTCCGGTACTACCTTCTTGGTCGAGAGTTCACCTTGGAGACGGATCACAAGGCCCGTTTGGTTTGTAAAGTTGGTTTTCTATTTTTGGGTAAAATAAAAACCTACCTTTTCTTAGAACTTACTCCTGTGTCTCGTGCCTTACTGCTTGGTCCCTCACAGTCCCCCACAAGAGAATCCTTCTCACCAGGGTAAGAGTGTTTATAAGACACACTACAAGTGACTTTATTAACTACGATGATAATTGCATTAGTAAATTGTATATTGTAATCTTGACCTGCAATATTTGTGTTCCTTACATACAAAGTTTGAAAATGTATTCCTGTGTGCATCTCTTGACTGGTATTCAGACCTTGGGCTCAAGTTGTTTCAGTCTTCTGATGTTTGTCCACCTTCAACACTTTATTTACAGTAACATGGCTTAATAATGTTGTTTACAGTTAACGTTAAAGATAATACTTGTATTTGTAGTAGCATTTTTTTTTTCAAAAACTGTTTGAGTGAAAGTTCAATAGACCTTCTTTTTGTTTCTGCGTTTACTTGAAAGTTAGACCCTGTTCCCACTGAGCTGTTAATAAGTGCATAATAAAGTATTTATTGACCTTTATAAGGCATTAATATGAACCTAATGAAGTCTTATCAATGTCATTTAACATCTTATGAATGTTGATAAGTGGTCTATAAACATGTTTCTTTGTGTTAATTAATATCTTACAAACACTCATAAAGTCTTACGGGCGGCTGTGGCTCAGTTGTAGAGTCGGTCAAGGGTTCGATCCCGAGCTGAGCAACATGTCCGATGTGTCCTTGGGCAAGACACTTAACCCTGAATTGCTCGCACTGCTTCAGTGGTGGTGTATGAATGAGATTAATTACTTCTGATGGATGATACTACATAGCAACCGCTACCATCAGTGTATGAAAGGGTGTTAATGTGGAGGTGTGACATGCAGTGTAAAAAGTGCTTTGAGTAGTTGGAAGACTAGAAAAGCGCTATATAAGCTCAAGTCCATTTACCAAGTCCATCTTATTAATGTTAATAAACATCTCATAATGTTTATGACGGTATATAAAGTACATTTCTAATAAGAGCCTATAAGTGTCTTATAAGACATAATAAATGTATTAATTATGCCTATATTAACACTTATATAGTCTTATTTGTGTTAATAAGAAGCTAATGAGGTCTTATAAATGACTTATTACCTGTTATTAATGTTTATTACAAGCACCTTAATAAAAAGTGTTACCGAAAATAATAATAAATTGATATTCATTTGATACACAAAGCAAAGCCTCTGATCAGTCAAAACTTTGATCATGAAATCACTTAATTAAAAAAAAAAAAACTCTTCTGTCAGTGTTTGATCCTTGAAATACAATTACTGCAAAGTAAATACACACAAATACTCTGCTGATTGCCAAATTAAAAATTTAAAGAGGACGCACAGGCGGCAGGCGGTGCAGTAACTGTAAGAGCTGTACTTGAACCTGATGATATTACCTCTTATGTTTTTTTGTTTTGCTCTTTTGGGGGGAAAGACAGAGATTTAAAAAAAAAGATAGTTTTTTTGTCACATAAGTCCCCCCCTCACAAACATGTGATGAGGTGTACATTTTCTCAGTGTGTTAAAATCTCACGTACATGTGGTGGGAAGGTGTGTTGCTTACAAATTACACAAAGTTTGGATTCACTTCTTACATCCAGGAAGAGTTGGCAGTTTTCCCTCTCGCCTGACGGCTTAAACTCTTCACGCTGTGAAGCATTCCTTGTGTGTAAGAGAAGGGGAAAACATGTGATTCAGAGTGACTCTTTGACCGTGCAATTATAAAGCTGAAACGTCTGAATCATCACCTGAGTGGGACTCTGAGAGAGAAGTCAAAAAGGACAAGAGAACTGGACCGGCTGGGTTGGAAATCCTCACACTTTTTTTTTCATGTTACTGGTCCTACGACAAAGCGGCAGAAAGCCAGCACAATAATTAGTTTCACAGGAGCTGTGTGTTTAAGGATGATAAGCGATGCTTTGGGTGAAGAGGAGTCAGCAGATGAGTGCAGCTGCTTGTTATCTGCACGGAGCAGAGGGAGAGGAGCACACGGCTGTAATAAGTTTGAGGGACGGAGAGGAGAGGAGGAGAGAGGAAGGGATGCTGCGAGGAGACGATGATAAAATCAAGATCTGACGCACATTTTCCTTCAAATTCTGCTTTAAATTTGCAGTTTGTAATACATCTGAAGGCTGTTTGTGTTTATATTCTGGTCTTTTGAGTCATTGTGCTCTGCAGCTTTCATCCTCTGCTGCATTCCCCCAACACACACACACACACACACACGGACACACGTGCACACACAAGCCTCAAACCACTGTTCTGCTGCTTGCACAAGTTAGCATCATCAATACACGCCACGATCGTTATTCATGGTGCATCGCAGCTGCAGAGCTGCTCAGGATGCACAGCGTGTCAGGCTACGCTTGTCAAGTAAGCCTGACCAGCTCATGATGTGTAGAAGAGGGACATGAGAGGAAGAGCTGAAGTGGCTGCACGGGTCCAAGCTGCGTAAACAGAAGCTGCACAACTAGAAAGGGACAGATGTTGAGGGGTCAAAGAGGTCAAGTGTTAAAAATAAAAAATCAGATATTGGTGGTTCACTATCTTGTGACCTTCGACCATCAAAAGAAACCACAGGGTTCAAACCCGTGTGTGAGGAGACGTTCAGTTGTCCAGATGCAGAAGAGAGCGACTGCACTACAGCTTGGAATTTGCATTATTTGTATAAACAGGGGGTGCATCCGAATTGCTAAGTACCTACTCAATCTGTCAGTAGGCAGTACCTACTATCCGTGCTGTATACTGCTAGTACCTACTATTCAGTAGGCGTGCACAGTAGGCAGATATTTGTTCCTACTTCGTCTGATTCATTCAGTATGGAAGTGGCGTCATTTGCGTTTCCCGAACCGGCCGCATTCACCCTTTTTTTTTTTTTTTGTTTAGCTTTATTCAAGAAGAGTAATGCACTTATACAGCCAGGTAAACAAAAAACAATATCACAATGTAAATCAAGTAAAAGATTAAATAACTAAATAACATACAGTACATAAAGGAAAGTACAAATGATAGACAGTAATATACAGAATATAAAGTAAAATAAACCAAGAAAGACGCATTTAATATACTGAAATCATTATTTAAATAGAGGGGGAAAGGTTTTATAATAATGCAGACATTTGTTTTATTTTCTGTTGTTAATTTAAAGTAGTGATTTCAGTCGGGACTTTAGATCAAAAATTGATTCAATTAATCCACGCTCGTTTGTTTTGATTTGGAGGCGGACGTGAAGTGATGTTTTACATTTAATTTTGCACAGCATTGTGGGTGGTAAAACACAATTCATTTCCTGAAAGGATGCATCTGATCCATACTGCATAAAACCCGGAAGTTAGTATCCATGCTGACCCAAAAAATGCATACTGAATGACCACGAAAGTTCAGTACTGAAACTCCCTACTGAAAAGTACGCACTGCCTACTGAACTGTGGATATTCGGAAACGGCCTGAGTAATAAATTCTATTTTGATAGTGCTGTCCAGCCATCTGATGATTTATTTTCACTTTATATGATTAGAAAAAAGATTGCCCTCCAACAAATGAGTTTTAATTAACAACCTTTCCTCCACTTTTTAACATGAAATGTCATGGTGCTGACATCCAACACTATCCAGGATCTACCAGGGAGGTAGAGGGTAGTTCAGGGAGGCGTTTAGAAAGGCAGAGGTGTGTTTTGGGAGATCAGAGGGGTCTTAAGGAAGGCATAGAGGTGATAGGGAAGATGAGGGATGGGTGGTGTGTCGAGGGAAGCTGAAAACCCCAAATCATGCAACATTTAGCATTAATTTAAAATGAATCTAACACAGCTTTAAGAGCATCCTCCTGGGACTCTGTGTGTCTGTATTTCTGAGCAGATTGATTGAACACTTTACAGTTAAAGCTCGACTACCAATACTGCTCACCGATGGAACAAAATACCTAAAAAAATAAAGCATGTCACTCGGAGGGATGTTCACAAGAAGCGGATTTACCGTCTCATTATTGTGGTTAAAGGCCTGAAAAAGTCAAATAGTAAACCAAAAGTGATTACAAAGTGTTTCCTGAATTGTTATGCAGATCTTATCGTTTGACAATGTTTATTTAAAATGGGAATTAAAAGCTGCAGAAAAAGTAAAAGTGCATCTGAATCTTGTTCCGCAGTTCATTTCAGGACGACAACTGTTATCCTGAAATCTTTCACCGCAGACTGAATAAATCTCTGTATAAAATATAAACATAAAAAGATAAGATAAAGCTGACAGTGCTTACAATGTGGGACTCTGCTGTCGTTTTGTCCTTTTGGCAGCTGGACAGGAGGCCAGTCGAGCCGGGGCTCAAGAGGTTTGATTTGAATTCTTTTTCACCTTGTCAGAGCTGTTCTTCTTCTCGCTGTCAGGAGGTGAAAGAGCTCACAGCAGGTGTGAGCTGCAGCTACACATATGTTCCCTGAGAGCAACAAGGAGGCTGGATTTATGAGAAGCTAGTCGTGCATGGAGTATCCATATCTACAGATTTTTACAGGAACTGTTTAAGATCTAACCTCAGACTTATGATGCAAGTCATTATCCTTTTTTATTATCTTTGTTTCTCCTGCTGTAAGGACTGCAACTCATGCTCCTTTACTGAAAGCCAACGATCTTAAAAACAAGGTAGTGAAAAGGAAAAGTCAGGAAAACACCAAAATAAGAAGGAACAAAGAATAGCTGTAGGTGTTGCCTCACAGCGAGGAGGTTCCTGGTTTGAATCCCCGCTGGACAGGAGCCTCTCTGTGTGGAGTTTGCATGTTCCCCCCCGTGCATGTGTGGTTTCTCTCTGGGTACTCCAGCCTCCTCCCACAGTCCAAAGACACGCTCGTTAGGTTAACTGCTGACTCTAAATTGCCTGTTTCAGCCCTGTGATTGACTGGCGACCACTCCAGGGTGTACCGCGCCCAATGACAGCTGGGATTGGCTCTAGCCCCACTTGGCCCCCGAACGGGAAAAGTGGTATAGATAATGGATGGATGGCAGTTCAAGGAGCCCTAGAGAAAATAAGACCCTTTGTGCACAGTCGTTTTTTTCCCTACAGTACCAACTATATGCCGTGCATATGGATTTGTAAACTGT